TTAGATACCAAAGTAACCAAAACATAATTTTCAGTATCATTAAAGAATTAATACCTTCATTATAATTATTTTCTTATTTGCTTATTATTTATTTACATTTGCTTCAACTATCTAAAAGTCTGAAGGACAATATAGAGACGATAGCTGTATTTTACAGCATAAAATAATGAAGTCCTCATTGTTTAGCAAAATATTAGCAGAATAAATAATACTGTGCAGAAAAGTCAAAATGTATTTGCATTGACTCTTTATTTTGAACATGTGTATAACACATATTTAAATAGTACGGCAACAGAGAAGAAAGGGACAAATAAACAATGCAAAAGAAAAGAAAAACAAAGCAATAATAATCATAAACAACTTAAATGTTCAACAAGGAGTAGGAAGAAGCATAAGCTCATTTAATCCCACCCCCTTTCCACTGTTTAGTAATTATACATTGTACAGATACAGGGAAGCTTTAAATTTAATTCCCCCTTCAAATTGTATCCCTGTTCTTTTTTTGGATTTTTTTTTTAGAATATTGGCAGGAAGTAGGTTGTTTATTGCTTTATACATAATTTGTGCAGTGCCAGTGAGAAAATAAACGTAAAGTCCTCATATGAGGATGTAAGATCTTAGGAGGCCACTACAACTAGATTTATGCACATAAATGTCTTCATTTTAGGGACTATGTTGTGCTATGAGCATGTACATGGCAATAGTGGGAAGGAAAAACTCCCTTTAAAAGGAAGAAACTGTTAGTCACAGTTGAAGCGCCCTACTGTCAGATGGCTGCTGTTAAAGCTGCAAACTGTGCAGTAGTTTGTGCTTTGGTGGAGCTGAAATGCATTAAGTGCCTTAGAAGCACAGAGATACTTGTTTTAATGTGTAATGCAATTAAACTCACAATGTCTTATAACAGCACTGAAATGACAGGATATACTGTGTCCATCCTTTCTTTCTCATTCAGTAACTGAAAAACTATTTTGTAATTAAAACCTTACCCACCAGGGGGCAGCGCTGTTCCAGAAAGTTTTACTTTGGTTGCCAACCCTGCAATAATAAGAAAAGCAGCAAATATTCTGCCACGAGGAATTTGAGGCCCCATAAAAAAATATCACTTTGGACCCCAGCACTTTAAATTTGCAAACCATGACAGCCTTAAAAATATAACATTAGACAGACATGGATCCATATTCTGCTTAGTTAAATCAGTGAGTCCTGTGTTCTGTTTTGCTTCCTGTCTCTTTAGGGAGTAATTCGTTCCAACTGTGTTCCCACCTGTTGCCCATCCTCTCGTTATCCTGTGTCTTTGCCAGTTTCCCGAATCACCTCAACTGGTTCCTTTCAATGTAGAAGTTTACTCTGAGCCCGTTTCGGATGGCTGAAGTCCTCACCCTGTCTGTAAGGGAGAGGCCAGCCAGCCTTCAGAGAAAGTTCATTTATGCTACTTGTCTCCGTCATATTATTCTTTGAGTCACTATTCAGAGCTATGACCATAGGTGAGGGTAGGGACATAGATGGACAGGTGAATCATGACTTCACTTTCATGCTTGACCCTCTCTTCACTAAACAGACAGATGCAGCGTCTGCATCACTTCATCCATGTCCACAATCTCCTGCTGCCCTCACGGGTGAAAAACACCCTGAGATACCTAAACTTCTCCACTTGGTGCAGCAACTTGTTCCTGACCCTGAGTGGACTTGTCACCTCTTTCCAGCTGAGGACCACAGTTTCAGACATGGAGGAGATGTTAATTATCATTCTGCTGTGTCGGCTCCAGTGAGAGCTGGAGCCACCACCTGATGTAACCAACATAACCACATCATCTACAAAAACCAGAGATGAGCTTCTGAGGACACCAAAGTGTAAGACTTTCATGACATGG